CCCCCCCGCGAGACTCAAGTCTGATGAAGGAGCCACAGGGAGGCGCACGTGCTGCCCCATGTACACTGGATTTGGTATGGCGAGACACTTCTGCAGCAAATGCAGAAGAGCACCAGGAAAAGGGGAAGGAGAAGGTAATACAGAAGGACGCTTGCCGTTGATGCGGTTTGAACGAGCCCCATATAAACGCATGCAAACAGTGTTCGACACAATTCGCAACATCCTGCAGCTGCTTTTGCTGAAGCTGCTGCTGCTGTTGCTGCTGCCGCTGCTGTTACTGCTGGTATAGTGAGGCACTCTATGCTGCAGCGGGATGAAGCCAAGGAGAGCCCCTCTTCTGGAGTCGTTTGGCGCCGCAGCAGAAAACATAAGACTCTGTTCTGGGTGACCTGGTGCGGTTTCCGTTTGTCTGGCGGGTCTGCGGTGTACATACACCTCAGACACCACCCCACAAGGGCCTCTGCGCACAACAGCAGCTGCTTCGCTGGCGCAAAGCAACAGAAAGAGAAGTGGCAACAAAGCAGTAGCCAAAATACAGAGGTTTCTAAAAAATGAGGACCCTGGGGGGCCCCTGGGGGGGGCCCCCAGCCAGGGCCCCCAGGGGCCCCTCCCCTTGGACTCGCCCTTCTGGGGTTTGTGCATTGCCTGTTTTTAACTCCATTGATTGCAGGCAAATGCACGATGTAAAATAAATGCAGCAAAAAGAATGCTGAGGGTCCCCTCTGTTTCAACTGGGCGGCTACATCTTGTGGTGTATTTCAGGCTCTGCAAAGGAGGGGGTGTACGGGACAAACGGCGACAAAATGTTTCTTTCAAACGCAATAACAAAACGAAAATAAATTAACGGTTAATTCAACTGCCTTGACATCCCTCTTGCACAAACCAAGGCACAGGGGCCCCCAAGGGGCCCTCCATGGGGCCCCCGAAGGTTCTGTGTGCATGCAGACGATCACAGCGGATGAACATGAAAGTTCAAAAGAGATAAATTTCAGAGTTTCCCTTGAAATTCTATGGAAACAAGCATTTTAAGCATCATATTTAGCGTTTATGGCCTAAGGTTTAGGGGTTAGGGTTTAAATTGAATTCCTCTTCCGACTTGAAACTGCTGATAAGACACTTAAAAGGAATTCTTTCGACTCCCAGGATTGTTGAATTTTTCAGCCTTTCTGGTATTTTCTGCGTTTTGATGAGCGAATTTGTAGACAATTGCCGCATGCAGCGGCTCTTTTTTTCGCGCATTATTGAAATTTCAACTGGAAGATGCAGCTAAAATGGTGAAGAAGTGCAAATTCTTCTCACTTCCCCGTTGTATTCCCCCAATTTTTCCAGAAATCAAATATCATGTTTCCGTAGTGTAACGCTGGGGTGTACGGACAGCTTTTCGATTTGCAAATATCCGTACCGCCTGCACGACGACGCCTGCGTGTATATTTATGAATGATGATCCCAGCACAGGGTTTAATTTGTTTTTTTATATTATATTACCGCTGTTTTGTTTAAGTTTCACGTTTATTCCTGCAAAATATGAAGGGATTTGATGCCGTAGCGCGCACAGGCAGACGGCTGTGCAGCAGAGGAAGCACATTTCTGTCGTTCCTCGGGCGGTTTGCCTTTGCCTTTGGAACGCTCCACGTCATCGACAATTACATCGCCTCTACAAAACAAGTAATTATTTAAATTCAAATTACGTCAGAACACATTGGCCATACACCGACAGACAGACCTGTATAGATGCATGCAAGCACAGGCGCTTGTTTCGGGTATACACCAACAATTCATGAATATGCATGAATACACTTGAACTTGTATGCATGTATTCACATGCCTTAACTTACATTCATATATATATATATATATATANAATACACTTGAACTTGTATGCATGTATTCACATGCCTTAACTTACATTCATATATATATATATATATATATAATATTGTATACAATGGTTGAAAAGGTGTATTACTGGGGCTGTGCTGTGTTGTAAATATACTGAATTGCAGGCTCGCGGTTTATCTATGAGCCCGACGATAAGCGAGGAGGGAGATTTGCTGCTGTTTGAACGTCTCACCCTTCGTTTATCTCATTTCTTCGGTTGGCCTTCTCCTTTGCGTCGAGGGGATATTGTCCTGGCGCACTCCCCCGAAGATGCATGCATCATTTGCAAGCGGGTTGTTGCTGTAGAAGGAGATATCTTCCTCTCTCAGCCCCCAGCAGAAGACCCCTTAGCCCCCCCCTCCCTCGTCGTTGTACCAAAACATTCTGTTTGGCTGCAGGGAGATAACGCGCGTCAGTTTCATCTCTCAGTTTCTACTAAACTTTGACGTTGTACTTGCATACATGCATGCATGCATGCATGCATGCAAGCGTGTCTCGTATTTGTTTAGGCTCGCCTATTTGTTGAGGCATATGTNCATGCATGCATGCATGCATGCAAGCGTGTCTCGTATTTGTTTAGGCTCGCCTATTTGTTGAGGCATATGTTTGTCTGTCACAATAATATTCTATCGAAGATAATAATAATAATATATATATCTATTGATGATTAATAAAAGCATGCAGTTTGTTACTTTCATGTATTTTTTTCTTTATTTTTTCTCATTTCCTTACCCCATTTCTCCCCAATTTGTTTGTTGATATTTTGTGTTTCATCAGCGTTATTTTTTTTACCCTGCATTGTTATTTCCATCTAAGTTTGATTATTTCTTTCTTTTCATTTATTATTGATTGTTTATTATTTATTATTTATTATTTATTATTTATTATTTATCGTTTTGTTTTGTTTGCTGCAGCGATGTCTCATGATAGCCGCAACTATGGATGCGTGAGTCTAGCAATGATATCTGGGAGAGTTATTTTCAAGTTGTGGCCTCCATCTTTATTTCCTTTCTTTATTCGATTTCTCCCTGATGATATAATTCAAAATTTCATTAAACCGTCACCAGCTCAAGTGGCTGCGGATATTGCAGGCCGTACCCTTGATACTGCTCTTCCACCTGCAGCTAGCTAGCTAGCTAGCTAGCTAGATCTCTAGCTAGCTAGTCACCAGGACAGCTAACTTGCTAGCCGGCTGCCAGGCTAGAACGGCTACCTGGCTAGCTGCATCTAGCTAGCCGATCA